TGGCGCATCAGGGCTTATAAAAGTAAGTGGAAAAACACACCGCATGAGGCAACAGGAGGAAGAAAAGAAAATGGAAGGCAAAACTGTGGAAGATGTGCATGCAAAAGACAAATTCCCAGCTAAAGAGAGAGAATGTAATAAATGCCACAAAATTGGTCACTTTGCAGACAAATGCAAAACCAGAATGACATAGGAAGTAACTGAAGAAATTGACAGCTTATTCTTGAGGTCAATAGATGAGACAACAGCCAAGAATGGCCATTTTTAATTTCGTAAATTTTATAATTGTTTAAATTTCATGATTTCAATTAATTGGACTGCCTTTTGATTTCCAAAAATGTTAAGCAATGTATCTGTAACACGCTTGTTCCGCGACACTTGTAGTTTCGGGGGGTAAAATCCTTGGGAAACACTATTGCATGTTCAGCTTTTTAAATAAATATATTACACAGTTGGATGCCATTCATTTTCCTTCCCTTTGTGTTGTTTGTTCTGCAGTCTGTACTGAAGGGCCACACTGACTACATCCACTGCCTGTGCTTTAAAGAAAGGGAAGGGGAGATACTCTCTGGTGGAGAAGATGGTGCTGTGAGGATATGGGGTTAGTGAATGACACAGCACTGTATCTATATCCCTTAATCATCTTTGGTGAAAATGAAACCTGGGATAGAGAAACATTTTGTAATAAGAGTATAAACTTCCTCCCCCAGACTCAAGAACAAATCGGCCAGTTCACTGTATTGAAGTTTTCAAATATGAGGTAAGACACCCCTACTTAGAAAGAATAAACGAATAAGCTGACACAATGCATTCATGACTCATAAAATAAAAAATACAGCACTGAAATTCCACCATCTCTCATTTTTGTTCTGGAATGGCGGGTCAGGAATGCGCACGCCCCCAGTTTGGGAAGTGGATTAGCTGTCTTGCTACAGACTCTGATTGGATGGTAAGATGGACATATGATTGGTTGGCAGGGACAGTTAAACTATTGTCTCAGGTTATATTTTCTTGTTTATCTCATGTCCAGTATATCTGCATTTTTTTATGAATAGACAGGCTTGTTTTTAAATATCAGTTATTATCTGCATGGTGTTCTGCTCTCATGAAATGCCCCTCAATATATTTTAAGATGGAATGGCATAATGCCCCTATTATTATGAAATCTTATCTATTTCCTCTCAGCTCTGTGGTGGAGGCCCATCACTCTCTTTATGGCACCTCCGATCCATGTCCCCCACCTCTGTCTTCCCTTTGCCTGGATGTCAAAGAGAAGCTGTCTTTTACCAGGACATGGTGAGGAAAAAAACAATCATACATACATATACTGTATATATAGTCACAGCCCGTCACAAATATATATCTCGTGTTGTGGTTGTGTTTAGATCATGTCAGTTGGTGAGGGTCCAAATGTGTCCCACTGTTTACATGGAGGTACAGTGAAAGCTCAGATTCCCTGCTCTCCTTCATCACTCAACACACTGGCTCTCAATCTCAAAAACATTGAACATAGGGTAGGTGTACCTGTTATTCACATTGTCGGATGTATCCATTTTTACAGGTGCTACAAATTGTAGCAATACCTATATATTTTTTTCTTTACTGGCTGTGTGTGAAAGTTAAGACTTGTGAATGGAAAGATTGTAACCTTTACCCAATATTCATCTTTCAGGTTATGACAGTAGGGGGCAGCAGTCACCAAATTGATGTGTTCACCAACTTCAGTTACAGAGCCTTTTCTCTGTCATTCTGATCACCAACACTTCTTTAAGTTTGAATTGAATTTTGTGAAAAAATTCTTGATGTATGGTTTACTTGACTTTTTAAAACAAATAATAATAATAATAATAATAAACTATTTTGGTTATTATTCAGTTAAAATGTGTTTTGCTTTCACACATAATGTGTTTTTGGTAAAACTTTACAACAAGGTTACATTAGTTAACTACTTTAGTTAACATGAACTAAGAATTAAAAAAAACTCTAACATTATTTTAGTTAATGTTAATTTCATAATTTACTAATGCATTATTAAAATCAAATGTTGTATTAGTTAACATTAGTTAATCCTATGTGAACTAACATTAACAAATAATGAACAGCTGGATTTGTATTAACTAACATGAACAAAGATGAACAAATACTGTAACAAATGTATTGATCATTGTTATTTCATGTTACCAAATAAGACCTTATTCTAAAGTGTTAACATGTTTTTTTGTACAACACTAATATTGTCAAATATATATGAAGTATGGTATAACACATGTACAGTACTCTGTAAAAGTCTTTGGCACATTATGGTTTTAAGCCAGTTATTTATATCTTTTGCTTTAGTGTGCAAGTAGGAAATATCAGTTTACATTTCCAAACATTCCTTTTGCCATTAATTGTAATAATCCAGTGAGATTTGTGTATCCACAAGGAGTCTGAAAGCAGCTGGAGCTCCACACAGAGATCTGATCTCACCATCATCGAGTCTGTCTGTGATTACAGAAGAACTGCAGCAACATCTCTGAGATGCTTGAAGAAACCTGCCTGCAAAGCTACCTAAAAATCAATGTGCAAGTGTACTAGGACAAAAGCTCTTAACACAAGATACTAGCAGTGCAACTGATACACTTCTCTCCACTTTAGCATCTGCTTGGACAACTTCTGCCACCTTTCCTCCAGACCGGCCCGTGCCACACCCTCTGCCCCCTGGTTATCTGATGTTCTCTGCGAACATTGTTCTAAACTCAGGTGTGCAAAGAGGAAGTGGTGCTAATGGAAAGATCCTACTGACCTTGGTCTTTATCAATCCCTCCTCTCTTCCTTCTCTGCTAATACCTCTACTGCTAAAATGACTTACTATCACAACAAAATTAACAATTCTTCCGATTCGCATGCTTTTCAAAACCTCTCTCCTCAACCCTCCTCTTCCTTCATCAACCTTAACAGCTGACGATTTTGCCACATTCTTCATAAACGACAACTATCAGCGGACAATTTACCAAACCACAAACTGACACACACATCTTATCGGCGAACACACACATTCTACCCTCCTTCTCTTTCCTTTCAGAGGCAGAAGTCTCCAAAACACCCTATTACCTGTCCGCTTGATCTTATTCCCACTAATCTACTTCAAGCCATTTCTTCCTCACTTGTACCCGCACTCAAGTCATCAACACCTCTCTTCACACTGGTACTTTTCCAACAGCATTTAAGCAGGCTCAGGTAACCTCACTGCTTAAGAAACCCACTCTAAATCCAGCACATCTGAAAAATTACAGACGGCATCCTTTCTTACATTTGTTGAGAAAACACCTGAACGAGTTGTTTTCATCCAGATCTCTTCCTACACAGAACAACCTCCTGGACAACAACCAGTCTGGTTTCAAAAGCGGACACTCAACAGGGACTGCCCTGCTCTCAGTAATTGAAACTCTCAAGCAGCTTCAAAATCCTCAGTACTCATCTTGCTGGAACTGTCTGTTGCTTTTGACACAGTTAACCACCAGATCCTCCTGTCAACCCTAAAGATGAAGGGCATCTCGGAAACCAAAACGCACTCCAATGGTTTCAGTCTTACCTCGGATGAGGTGTCTAAGACCTAACTTCTAGCTACTGGGGTGCCGCAGGGCTCAGTGCTTGGACCACTTTTCTTTTACATCTACATGACATCACTGGGATCTTCTATTCAGAAACATGGTTTTTCATGACACTCCTACGCTGATGACACACAACTCTACCTCTCATTCCAGCCTGATGATCCCACGGCTACTGACAATTCTGTCTGGATAAAGGACCACCACCTCCAACTACACCTTGCGAAGACAGAGCTGCTTATGGTCCTGGCAACCTCAATACTATACCACAACTTATCCATTCAGCTAGGCTCCATCATGGTCAGCCAGGAACTTTGGAGCTGTGGTCGATGATCGATTGAACTTCACAGACCACATTGCTAGAACTGCCAACATTAGGAGGATCAGGCCCTTCTTATCAGAGCATGCTACACAACTCCTTGTCCAAGCACTTGTTCTATTCAGATTGGACTATTGTAATGCTCTCTGGTCTTCCTGCTTGCTCTGTCAAACCTCAGGAACTGACCCAGAATGCTGCAAGAGTGGTCTTTAATAGGCTAGAGCACACGTCACTCCTCTCCTCACAAAACTGCACTGGTTGCAGTTGCCTCTCGCATCAAATTCAAGTCACCGACTTTTGCCCACAGAACAACAACCCCTGCTCTGGTCCCTTTACCTAAACTTATTACTTCAGACTATGCCATCCAGAAATTATGCTCTGCAAGTGAATGCTGCCTTGTGGTGCCATCTCAAAGAGGCACAAAATCTCTTTCTCATATATTTTCCTGGTCTATTCCATGCTGTTGGAATGATTTGCCTAACTCAACCAGAGCTGCTGAGTCATAGCCACTTTCAAGAAACGGCTGAAGACGATCTTCGGCAACACCTGATCCATTAATAACACTTTTATCTTCTATTCTTTATCTTTATATAAAACTAAAAAGTACTGCTTTTAGAGTAAACTGGTAAGGGTCATGGCACTTGCATTTGTTGTCCTATTGTTATTTCAACTGCTTCTCAGTCGCTTTGGATCAAAGGGTCTGTTCAAAACGGCAGCTCCCATGAGGCGACCTTCTTCTTGCAAAATATTTGGCTACAGCTGGAGTTTTAATTTCATGTTTGTGCAAATTATTTTAATGTTTCTCAAAAGAATTATTGATTTCTTTGTAAAACTTTTTTATAATGGCTAAAATTTGGTGAGTGCACTTTTAAACATTTGATGGTCCTTTACATCATGTCCCAGAGCGTATTTGCCTGTCTACCCTACCAGGCAGTATTTTAAATGAGAATAAGACATCTAATGGCCAAAAATGTTGTTTCTGTTGGTAAGCTTGGTTTTGACTAAGTTCGAATGTATGGCTGGAATGTCATCAGTTTTTTTTTTGCCACAAAATACCGATGGCAATCTCAGCAGCAGCAACAGGAGTGTCATGAGGAGAAGGAGGAGGAGACAAAGAAACTCGGGCACATGATGAGGATGAGAGTGACTCAACATTCAGGTGCGGCGCCCTCGGATGGGCGGATCTGATCTCTGCGGCCGCTGGGACACTGTCCGAACTTCCCCTAACACTGGTTTCCCGGATCCCGGTAGTGTCGTCTGCAGGACTAACCCGACACTAACTGGCCGCCCTAGCAGGAACGTGTGTCAAGTCTTCAGTGTTTCCCCAGCGTGCTTGGAATATGTGGGTTAAAGTGTGTTCGGTGAGTTTTTCTTTAGCTTTGAGTTTGATCTAATTATCTTTAGGGCATCTGCGGCTAGTTAAGTAGCTAGCCTAGCTGCATTTCAAAACAACTGAGTAAATTACAGCCAACGAGTTGTTATTTGAGTAAATGTACACAAGTTTGACCCAGTGGTTAACGGAGACGGAATTTAGGAAGCAGATTAAGTCGAGAGTTCAACTTGAGGTTTGGTATGACGGCATGTTTTTACAGTTGTGTCTGTTTAGCGTTAATCGATCGAGTTACTGCGCGAGAGTTTCTTGTAATACAGACGCTAGGTCGCTTATCTAAGAAGGTCAATAAGTTTATGATTACCGTATATAAAAGAACAGAATCAAGTGAATCTGCCTCTAAATCTACAAATGATTCTTATTCTTTTGATTGTCCCGTGATTTGACTGTTTATTACAGTTGTAGTGTTAGAGCACCGGATAGTTTCACTTACAATTTTGACGTGTTTGCATTGAGGGATTCAGATGTGTTGGCGGTGGCACCAACATGTTTTTTTCTTTTTGTCTGACTTAGACTTAGGCGTGTCAGTTTCACTTCTCTTCCACATTTTTCGTGTTAAAAAGATCCCATTTGCCTAACGGACATTACTGTTTATCATAATGCCTTCATTTTAGACAAAAAAGGGTTGTAATGATGAGAAGCCTGTGCCCTCTCTTTGCAAAGCCAGCTCAGGAACAACTCGTCCCTTCCTGTTTTCATGGAACATTTTTTGGCAGTTTAGGGAGTCTCTAGCTTTGTCTTGACTCAGCAGTGGGTTTTATGTGGGACACTTTAATCGTTCTGTCCACTGTTTTGGTTTCAATTGTAAGGGGAAAGAGGTGTGTGTACATCCTGATTTCCATCCATAAATCCTAGCGTAAAACTGGTGCATGTGGTTTCGAGGGTGTCATTTGTCTGTCAGAGTGGGAGAAGCTAAATTTAGTGCCACAGCTGCTGTTCTGGGCAAAAGGGGGTGCTTGTCTAAATAATTTGAACAAGATCCATGAGTAATACTTGTCTCTTTCTTCCTTTTTTCTAGGATTAGAGCTTGAAGGGGACCGACTAGGACTTATATCACTTCCGGCTTGAACCTGCATTCCTACAGTGTCTTTGAGTAACAGTGATCTTTGAAAGTGAGGGAAGCTACCAGCCCCTGCATGCATTGGCTAAACAGGCGGAATGGAATTGTTGTGACCGAGATACCATCTACATATCTGGGAAATCAAGATTTTGAAACAAAACAACTTGGATCTAAAACAAATCAACCTTTTTTTTCCTGGGTAATTTGGTCCCTGACGCACTCAAACTCTGCATTATGAGCACCATCAGCGATTAAAGAACTGCTCACTTTGTAACCTGAGTCATTTGATACTTAACCACAAAATGTGGTAATGTGTTTGCACTTGAAGGCGAGGAGACGAAAGGTACATTTCACATAGATTTTAAGCAATGGAAATAGTACTTGAAATTTAAAGTGTTTTAAAATGAACTAAGAATATTGCACAGACAATGCAGAATCACCAATTTATAAATGGAAATGCACTGAAATCAAACTGATGCATCATTTCACACTTGAATTCTGAAGAAAACTGGAAAGACTATCACACGATGCTTGCAATATTTCACCCAAAACTTTAAACCTCCTGGCATTTTAAGACACAGGAAAAGTGAAATAAAGGTGTTGAAAGCTGTTAAACTTGTTTCATGAGGACACATTTTGAACAGAAGAATGGCGGGAAAAGACTACCATCACCTCTTCAAGCTGCTCATCATTGGTGACTCCAGTCAGTACTTTTGTGTTTTTATACACTTGCTAACAAATTATGTTTTTGTTCCAGCTTTTTTATCTGGCTCTTTAATGGAGAACCCAATCAGACAAAGAGAATTCCTCCTATTTGGCAAAAAAAAAAAAGTGTTTAAGCCCAACTATTTCTGTAGCACCCTGTCCATTACTAAGAATGCTCAACTTTTGCATTTACTGGAATGTTGTTGTGCAATTTCACAATTTAAGCTGAAATGAAACCGTGTGAGTAACATTTGTTCTCATCCCTACATGAATTTAGTCATTTGAACAGTTCATGAGTATGCATACTATGCACTTGTGTGGTATGTGTACTGTGACAAAAATGATCTGTGAAAGTTTTAGCTACATCGCTTGTAGTTGTCCTTTGCTTTCATATTAAATGCACATAAATAAGTTATGCATCATGGGTGCATAACTGGCTTATGTGAATTTACTATAAACCTTTCTCCAGGCATTTAACATCCCCATTTATGAACAAAATACCCCAGAGGGATGTATTTGTTTCACCCAAAGATCTAGTCATGACATTTAAATTAAACATTACAAGGTTAAAAAAAAAACATTTAAATGAAACCTAATTGGATGAATAATAAAAAAGTGAATTTTTGATTAATGCTGACATTTAACAAGCCTGTTTATGCTTCCACTTTAATAGAATTCCTTGTTTGTTTGATGTGTAATCTTGATTATTTACTCTCAGTAATGCATTCTCTCGTCAAGAGTTTGTAATTTTTTTTCTGTGGTATTACCCACAGCTGCTTCATCTAGTCTGCTGTGTCCACTGACAAGCTGTAACTGTGCAGCTAAGTAGCATGTGTCTCCATAAAGATATAATAGTCTCATGAATGCCAGTTAACCCTTGAGTATTTTTATTTGTGATAATTTTTGTGACCTTTGTCACAAAGGGATATCTTAAGCATTGTTAAGTTGTATGGTGCAGTTGGACGATTTGAGACATTTTTGTTAGTGTTGTTGCATTTACGCTATGTCATATTTTTATTTTTTGTGGGGACATTTTATTGCCATTGTATTCTCATATATTCATTTTTTTAAACTGTTAATATAAATATCTATTTATTACTATCATTTTGTTCTATTATAGAAAATACTGTCATGTTTATTTCAAAATATAAATGCAATGAGGTATTACAGATGAACATTTAACAAATGCTACTCTGACTCTGTTGCAGATGTAGGGAAAAGCAGTTTGCTCCTACGATTTGCAGACAACTCATTCTCTGGTGAGTCTGCTTGGCACAGAATGCGTCTCTGTCAGAGAGACAGAAATTGAGGCAAAGGGTCTGTAAATATATGATCTGATTCATTGTGTTCTCATGTCCAAGACAAAGTGAGTGTGTATGCTTGCTTGACAGTGTTTAAGGAGTTAAAATGTTATATCTTGTGCTCCTCACAGGAAGTTACATAACCACTATTGGAGTTGACTTCAAGATCCGCACAGTTGAGATTGACGGAGAAAGAGTTAAACTCCAGATCTGGGACACCGCAGGGCAGGAAAGGTTTAGAACCATCACCTCGACGTAAGCCTGTAAATTTTTGATCTGTTTTACCATTCTTATGATCTCTCTCGTCTCCCCCTTACATGTTTGCTGTATTCTTCTAGGTATTACAGAAACACTCATGGTGTCATCATTGTTTACGATGTTACAAACCCTGAATCATTTGTCAACGTGAAAAGGTGGTTAAACGAAATCTCGCAGAACTGTGACAACGTCTGCAAAATATTAGGTTAGTTTAAACTCACAACTTTTCGTTTTATTTACTTAATTTAATTCCTGGTTATGCATTGTGATATGAAAAGAAATGTTCCAAATTCTGAATTTCTTGTGAACCAACTTTTAATATTCCTTTTCACTTTGATCACTAATAGTGGGAAACAAGAATGAGGATCCTTCTAAAAGGCTTGTGGACAGCCAAGATGCTATGCGCTTTGGAGAGTCAGTTGGTGTGAGGTTGTTTGAGACGAGCGCTAAAGAGAATATCAACGTTGAAGAGGTGAGGTTTGCTTTGCTGTGATCTGTGTTCACAAAATTTGGAATAAGTTCATTAGCAGAAAGTGGTTTCTGAGAGACGCTGTTGAAAGTGGATCAGACCGAGCAGTACAACTCACATGTAGCCAATCAGCAGCAGGGGGTGTAAAGGCATGATGGGGAGGAGAGAGCGAGAGATTGAGCAAGAGAGAGATTTGAAGAAACACTGTAGAAAGAGTAATTGCTGAGAGACATTACAAAAGAGAGGAATATCACAGGAAAAGGAGGGGTTATGATATAAAGGAGGGCTTTAGGACCCACAGTAACATTAGAAAAGCTTTCCAGCACTGGAGAGTCTTAAGCGGGAAGGCCCGAAAATAGACGCAGAGGTTATGTTGATTCTGCGCTATACATGAGTAAGAATACCCACTTCTGCACTGTTAGGCCGAACGGTTCTTATTACGCAAATGTTCCATTCCGCTCTGATCTCTGTATGATACAATAATCGACACACTGGTGCCAAATATTGATTTTTAATTAATAAAATAAGGCGTTCTAAATAGATTTCCCTGCTCCCAACGTCGCTACTTCATGGGTCCTCGAGGTGGCGCTCAACACATGTGAATGTGAAACGTGGACATAAGTTAACTAGCCTAAGAATTTTTTTTTTTTTTACGGGATGGTGGAAATCAGTGTGAGCACAATAATAGATACCCTAGCAATAAGTTCAAAGTCTGGACGCACTTCGGCTTTAACATCATTGATGGGACAAGCACTTTGTAAATAGACATCTATGACACTCTTCACCGATACACACGGGATACATACATAGATACACACGGGAGCTTTTGAAAGCAGCCGTCTATAGATGTCTGCTCTCAAACGCTCTTGTGCGTACCTGTGTAAGCGCCAAAGTCTATTTACAAGTTTTTTAAGCACTGATCACTGTAACCAATCACAGACTAACACTAACACACTTGTTTCGTTTTTAAAAACCCAAGTCGGAATCTTTGACAACAGTATTCCCAGCTTTATTTTCAGGAAGCTGGTGAACACTGAGATGTTCCCAGGTTTAAATAAAAGAAAATGATACATTTTGAAATGTATGTTGTTTATTTAAAAAAAAAGTCGATAAGCAGTAAAATGTTAAATTTAATTTACAGACTGAAAAACGTTCTGTGCTGTTTTCTAACAGTTTGGACTTCCAAGAGAGACTTTACCTTTTCACAGGCATTTTGTTTTCATAGATAGATATCGTGATGTATCATCATAGGATTGTATACCAATATATCAATCATCGCAGAACTGCAGTGTATTCCAGATTATCGTGAGCCATGTATTGTGTATCATATCGTACCGTGAGTACCCTTTGATTCCCACCCTTAGTTTGTGTTTACGTCCCTCAAATAGTGCACTTATCCAGCTATAGAGAAACTGCCAGCCAGGCAACAGACAAGTGATCAATTCTGAGTTGTGACTTCATGGGTTTTAACAAAACGGGAATTCTGGGCAGAGAACAGTTTGTAATTGTCCCATGCGGGGCTTTAGTAGAAACACAACTGGAACCTTTCCTTACCCTTCTAAGAACCATTCGGCCCAACGATGGCAAAGCGGCTATGGATTTGAGTGTGTGTCTCTGGTGACTAACAACGATCACTTGCTTGTAAATTCTTGTGTACTGTTTGTTAATTTTTTGTTCTTCCTTGTTTGTTTGTTATCTTTCCTTTTCATCAAGCTATATTTTACTTTGCTTCTGCTATGATAAAGAGATGCATTGTACTGCATGTTTGTGCATTTTTGAGGTGGAGCAATGAAGGGGGGGGGGGTGTATGTGTTTGGGTTGATTTTAAATATCAACCGTGTTTCTCAGAAATCTCTGTTTATAACGTTGTCGAACAAAAGGCTAATCATAGGTGTTTGGCGTTGTAGAGAGCGATACATAAAACCCATTACCATTCTGATACATCACCTTGTATACAAGCCTGTATAATTTACTCTTCCACTTCTTCTGAATCAGTTTCTGGTTCAAACATAAAATGGCTGAATGAAACCATTATTTCCACTTGCCATTGTGCACCATTTACTACAGTAAAGTTGACTGAGTGAGAATCTCTTGAGCTGCTTTAAATGAGTGGAGGCAGGGCTAATTTAGCATATTCATGGCTCTGTGTATAATAAATGAAGGAAGAGTATAGAGGTACATTCAAGCGATTTTAAGGCATTAATAAATAAATAAAAATCACTGGAAAAATAAATGTTTAAGTATGTTATTTTGGTGGTCATGTGTTTTAATGGGTACAATTATTGACTACAGTGGGACATGAAGAAAATTATCAACATTTCATTTTAGCTTGAATAGAATGTTTAAAGTTTTCAACTTTAGAAAATACATTTTGTCTCTCTGTCCACTTTGATGTGTTAAATAAAAATCTATAATATGCATGCCTTATATTCTTTTTTGTTTGCAGATGTTCATGGCTTTCACCCACATGGTCCTTCGGGCCAAGAAACAGAGCCAGAGTCGAGCAGAAAGAGAGAGAGAGAGAGAAAAGGACACTGTCCATATTAATTCCCACAGGGATAGAGAGAGGAGGAAGAAAGGGAAGAAATGCTGTTAGAGCAGAGGTGTTTGGAAGATATGGAAAGGAGGACAAATCAAACACCTTTGTTCCATTGCGTCACCTTAACAGATCAGAAATGTGACTTTTTTTATGTTAACACTGCGCTTAGAAAAAGCCAAGAGGAATAAAATCACTATTATGTGCCGAACATCAGCGTTTGTTTACACGTTTGTCCATTTTTTTTTTTTGTGCTTTTTGGGAAATTGACTGGCATGTTTTTACACTGGTATCAAAAGCCTGGTCCTGGAAAGACACTATACACAAACTGTCTAATGTGTTCCACTATTATTTGTGAGAGATGTTTCGTGTTGGATTAAAATTGTCCTGGTATTTGTCATTAATGTATGCAAATAATAAATAAGCAATAAAAGATGATTTTAACAGAATGCTCACTTTCTTCTTTCAATATAACTCTCTTCAACTTGTACAAAAATTAACTTGTTTTAAGTTATTTAATTTGACCCATGAATCATGTTTGTTGAATCATAAAATCCTTTTTTTATTTAATACATTTAAATGTATTAATGTTAAATGTCATCAGAATACAAATGAGAGAAGAGTCAAAGAGCTGAAAAATTAGAAAAACAAAGTAAAAATAAACAGATGAAACAAATAAAAAGTCCTTACAAATAGAAGACGTTCTACTTTCTTATTAACCAAAGATGTAATCATATTTTAAGATACATTTTAAAATTTCAAAAACAGAAAAAATAGTTTATTGTTGGCAAACTTACATTTATGGATCTAAAATTTACAAAGGAGATAAATTTAAATTCAAGTATTTTTGGATATCAAAATAGCCAAAAATAATGTCTATAGAAGTTGTGGATATATCTTGCTGGATATTACTTTAATAAATGTGTCAATATTTTGTTAACTATGAGAGCATTTTTTTTTTTTTCATTATGAAGTTGTTCAGTATGGGTCATGACCAAAATAAATGATTGACAGTTTCTGTGTGAATTTGAGCATTCTGTACCAATATCAGCTTTATATTTAGTCATGAAATGTTTGACAGGGAAAAATATATTTATTATTTTTTAAAGACTTTGTGACCTTATTATTGAGAAGATATTTTTGTTGCAAGTACCAAATCTTTTTCAAATTTTAAATAAATAATTCCAGTAAAAGATTGCATGAGATACAGAAATAATAGTTTCAAGAAAGGGGGATCTAACTGAATCATAAACTCCTGCATCCTTGAAATTCCCATCTGTTTGTCAGTCGGCTCTGTGTCAGCTGACCGATGTCCTGGTGTGGTGACGTCACCGCCAAGATGGCTGCCGAGAGCGAGTGAGTATTATGTTCCTGGAAAATACTGACAAAAACGTGTATTAATTACTAATTATTATATAAATACAGAGTTAGTTGACATATTAACTAAAATACCTTATTTGGAAGACTTGCAGTGCATACTTATGTGACTAAGTACATACCGTGATATGTGATAACCTATTTTTAGTCTATGCTAACATAACAATTTAATGATACAATTTAATTTATACAGAAAACTACAGAAATCATTTTGTCTGACAATAACAGTAAATAAGTGAATCCATAGTTAAGTTGTTCGGACCTAACCGTAGTCATGGGCGTTGCAATTGTCAGTATCTAAAATAAACAGTTACGGTCTGCCTTTGACCCAGCGTCTCTGGTTATCTAATGCGTCATATTCATGTTAATGTTATATTACATTAAAGCAGTTCTACTCCAAATTGTCATCTGTTTGACATCACAGTGTCCTGTCAGAAATTGAAGTGCTGCAGTCCATCTACTTGGATGAGCTCAGTGTTACTCAGAGTGATGAAGGGTGAATGTTTTATCATTTATTGCTCTTTTAGTTTTTCATAAATTTCCTGAGATAATAATATTGTTAACTGTTATTAACCTGAACAGAAATAAAGATGTCATTTTTCTCAATTAGAGGGTGGACAGTCAGTTTGGTACTCTATCCCTCCACTGCGGAGGACTGTCTCTCTCAGTTTGTCCGTCTTACACTGACAATGGATCTGAACTCTCAGGTTTGTTGGTTTAATTGCTATCATATTTGACTACTGTAATGGATCTAACATGTTTTGTATTTACTTGACACTCCTTTATAGCAACTTACTTTCTGTTGGTGTATTTTTTTTACATTTATTTTCAGTATCCATATTCATCCCCTTGCATCTCTATTCACAATCCACGTGGACTCTCGGATGATAAATTGCTCAGGTGATTGATTATTATTAGATATTGTTAGGTTTAAAATTCTGAACGTGCTGTTTCACTCCTTACTCTTTCTGGTGTTTTCACATGCTGCTCTTTTGTCAGTTTACAGAGCAGTTTGCAGAAGGAGGCAGAGTCATGTATGGGGACACCTGTACTTTATCAGCTTATAGAGGTTAGATTCCGTATTTGGTCCATAACTACATATAGCTTTCAAATGTTTGGGGTCAATATGTTTTTTTTTAAAGAAATTTACACTTTTATTCAGATGCAAGACATTTATTAATGTTAAAATATTTCTTTTGAACTTTCTATTCATCAAAGAATCCTGATTTTCTTTATCACTTATGTCTCAACAATATTAAGCAGCACAACTGTTTTCAACATTGATAATAATAATACTAATACTAATGTATTGAACAGTAAAACAACACATTATAATAATTTCGGAAGAATCTTGTGACAATGAAGAGTTTAAATTTAAAGACTCAAAATTTTGCTTTGACATTTCTCTAATAAAACATCTTTTTTTTTTTTTTTTAAATGCTTCAACCTCAAACGATAGTGTATTTTCCTTTTATCTTGTGTTTGTCTCAGATGATTTTTCTATTTTATCCTCACAGAGAGCTAAAGAGATACTGACTGAGAGCAATATTCCCCATGGAAACTGTGTCATCTGTCTGTACGGCTTTAAGGTGTGGTGTTTTAATTGTGATAGTACCATATAAATATGCTCATAATGTCCTCTGTGGCTTGTTTGTAAAATTGAACTTGTTCCTCTTCCACTATTTTGTCCTAACCATAGGAAGGAGAAGTGTTCACTAAGACCAGCTGCTACCACTATTTCCACTCGCACTGCCTTGGCCGCTACATCACTCACTCTGAGATGGAGCTGCAGGACCGTGAGAGGGAGCTGAAGGAGGATAAAACTAGAGACCAGACGGAAAAAGAGGTGGGGCTGTTCATCATAGCAGAGGATACGTACAGTCTCCTTATCTTGTATCCACCTTGTTTTTCAACACAGAAGTAAGGTGGTTTCTGTGATTGTGCAAGATTTCCAATTTATTAGCCACTATAGAGAAATAACAAGAAGTGCAGTAAACATTAAAATAATATGGTAAGAAATACCAGTTTGCAATATCAAACAGCATAACAAGCTGTTTTGTACTGTTAAACATAACTGGAAGCCAGACACATTCAAGTTACAAATGGCCGCACCCACTCTTACCTGAAAAATATGGTGGACACTTTAATATAGTTTCTGTACTGTTTCAGCAAAATGCTACATATTACAATGGTAAATATTATGTAGCATTTTGCTCTAATACATCCCAGTCAAAGATTTTGTGTATTATGTAATTATTATATAATCTGCTTCAACATTTCTTCAAAAATATATAGCTAATTGCAAAACATAAATGTGCAGATGCTGTAAACAAAAGGCATTTTTGATATAAATGAGATTCTTTCATTAACAGGAGTTGGCTGTTGTTTGCCCTGTGTGTCGAGAGCCTGTGACCTACGATTTGGATGCCCTTCTTTCCTCCCCTGCTCCAATTTTCACTCAGGTAAGACATACAGGCACAGTGTATCATTCTCTGTGGACACAGTTTTAGCAGTTGGGTCAAGCTAAACTGGCCTGGGCATGACGTTTATCATTGTTAGAAATGTCAAGTGGACAAAGTCACTCTTGTGTTCAGTGCCAAGCAGTAGATTTTTTTAAAACAGTGCATCATTGTCCCATGTGCAGTCCCTCTTGTTGTTGCTGACTATGCCAGGATGTCTAGTTTGAAAGCTCAACACCCTAATGTATGCTCACTGGTCACATGCTGTGGATACACATGAACATTGTGTTTATTATTGCTTCGCTCACAGCAGGAGGATGTAGACATCGGTGGAGAATTTAGAACGAAATGGGCAGCGCTCCAGAAGATCATGGAACGGCAGAAGGAAAAGGGTGGCGTTATTGACCCAGAAGAAGAGTCTAATAGGTTCCTAATTCACATTAATGAGGTAAATCCTGGATGGAACATTCCGATTTGACATGTTCGGCCGCATTCACAGTGCAAAGTTTTGGGAGTCACAAATGCATTAAAGGGATACTCCACTTTTTTGGAAATTGGCTCATTTTACAACTCCCCTGGAGTTAAACTGGTGAGTTTTACCTTTTTTGAATCCATTCAGCTGATCTCTGCTTCTGGCGGTACCACTCTTAGCGTAGCTTAGCATCATTGAAGTGGACAAGACAATTAGCATTTCTCAAAAAAAAAAATGACCAAAGCGTTTCGATATTTTTCTTCTGTACATTGTGCACTAAGGAAAATGTAAAGTTGCGATTTTCTAGGCTGATATGGCTTGGAACTATACTCTCATTCCTGCTTAATAATCAAGAAATGTTTTTTTAATAAACCATACCATGAGACGAAAGGTAGTTACTGCCATACTACCTTTCGTCAACATAACTACACAAACTTAGTCCCGGTCACTTTAGAAGTTACCGAGCTGGGGACTATTCAGGCGCTGCGTCATTGCGCCTGCTGCATTCATGGTATGGCAGTAACGTTTCCTGATTATTAAGCAGGAATGAGAGTATAGTTCCTAGCCATATCAGCCTAGAAAATCGAAACTTTACATTTTCCGTCGGTCTTAGTGCACGATGTAACTACAGAACAGTCAAGTTTTAAATAGTTTTAAACATAAATGTAATGAATTATTATTATAAATAGGAAAAATATCGAAACTCTTTGGTCATTTGTTTTTTTTTTTCGAGAAATGCTAATGGTCTTTTTCACTTCAATGATGTATGCTAAGCTATGCTAAAAGTGGTACCGCCAGAACTGGAGATCGGCTGAATGGATTCAATAACGGTAAAACTATAACGGAGTTGTAAAATGAGCCTTGTTCCATAAAAGTGGAGTATCCCTTTTTAAAAAAATTTAGCTATATAATAATAAAAACAATTTATAATAAAATATTATATGATATTATAGGGTGGTTCTAGCTTTAGTTAGTGTGTAATGTTGCTGTTTGAGCATAAACAACATCTGCAAAGTTACAATGCTCAAAGTTCAGACCAAAGGAAGGTATTTTTATTTTTTTTTAAATCGTTTTTTAAGGACTACAACAAATGGCTGGTAGGGACTAAATGATATTACTCCCGGGTTAGTGACATCCTTAGGGAACATGCAGTTAGGGAACATGCAGTCCATATTGAGAAGAGGAGAGTTGTTGTTCTAGAGCACATTTGGGATTCTGCTTGAGCTGTCGCATCCGTCTTTTCACATGCAATACAGTACGTGTAACAAATGCAATAGCATGTCAATCTGTAGGCATCTTATAACAGTTCCCACACAAGCGATTTTATAGATTATAATGACAGAATATGCTAATCAAAGACTTGAAAATAGTAAACTCCACATCCGCAACATAAATTCATCAACTAACCATTCATGTTGTCACTTCTTGAGTCTCTCCATCATTGTCCGACTCCAGTTTAAACAAAAGGTAGATCAGTTTCTGGCATTTTGGTGCTTGTCTACCTGAGGTAATTGAAGCAAACACACACACACACAAGCTCTTAAAGCTCCGCCCTGTGCCAGGAGCAGCAGCTCATTTGCATTTATAGGGACACACACGGAACAACACGTTTTTACTGCCCCTCAAAAAGGGAAAATTTTAACAGGCTGTAAAATTATCCGTTGGGTATTTTGAGATAATATTTCACATATACACTCTGGGGACAACAGAGACTTGTTTTACATATTGTAAAATGGGGCATTATACCACCACTTTAAAAAAAAGTGAATACATGCTTTTATATATTATTTAGTAAATGTTATTTTGTAAATTTATAATAGAAAATATGTATATATAATTTTGTATTATAAGCTCATAAAAGTTAGTAAATTTCATATATATATATATATATATATATATATATATATATATATGTATGTACACATAAACACACACGCACTTTAAAAACAAATAAATGTACATGTACATATTCATCTTGAAGAGGAGTGACAATTGAAGACTGAGTTCTCAATGTCATTATCTGAATGAATGAGGGATGTTTTTTTTTTTTTTCTTCAGACTCAAGACTCTTCTGGTACAGATGCCTCTGGTGCCGAATCTTGTCAGTCACTCCCTTCCTCATCCACAGATTCTATTGGTGCAACCCAAGCCTCTCAAAGTCATCACACTACAGGCCAATCACAGCGTCTGTGCACTCATGAGAGAAGGCAACAAGGTGACTTCAAGAGAGGTCATAGAGGAAGAGGAGCCAGAAGAGGTGGACCAGGACGTCATGTAATGCCTTCACCTGGGGTGGAACAGTTAGGCTGGCTCACGCAGTCTTCTGATAAGATTAATTATGTCAACTCAGACCCACCAAACACTACATCACAGGTAGAAAGCACAGCACAAGGACAGCCATTTGAACTCGGTGATAATATAGCACAGCTTAGGAAGCCTTCGATCAATGAAGAAGAAAAATATATTTCTCAAGACAAGGTTACTTCAAAATCTAACTGTGGACAAGATGTGGGCAAACAAAATGTTTGTATTTCAAAAGATATGGATCAGGCAATCTTACAGGATGGACACCCAGAAAGGGAACATGTGGGTAGAGGATGGAAGCGTGGTAATCGTGGCTCCGGACGACATCACGGACACTGGCAGGAGAGGAACTTTAAGGGACCAGGTTACTGGGATAATTCTGGAAGCGTCGGTCACCGTGGAGGTGGACATAGAGCCAGAGAGGGAGGGGCTGGGCATCAACACAGAGGGGGTGGAGCTCATAGAGGTGGTGGGAGGGGTTTGCTTCAAAGAGTGGAAAAAGAATTTAGGAAAGAGGGAGTGCTCTGACAATGGGA